GCCGCTCCGTCCACCACTTCCGTGTGTGGAGTAGGGTTCTACGGCCGCTCCGTCCACCACTTCCGTGTGTGGAGTAGGGTTCTACGGCCGCTCCGTCCACCACTTCAGCTCCTGTCAGTACTGCCACTGGACCATGCAGAAGCCTTGGGAGGACATTCCACAGATGAAATTTATTCTCTCTCTCTCTCTCTCTCTCTCTCTCTCTCTCTCTCTCACACACACACACACACACACACACACACACACACACACACACACACACAAACACATATACAAATGACAATGGGAGTATTTGGAGTGTCTCTTCAATGCACAGAGACTGGCTTGGCACTCACGTACCAGTTTGTCATTCATCATAATAATTTGCTCAGTCAGTCAATTAGTCTCTTTTATTCATTTATATGACAAATATTTGCCGAGCACTCCATTATGTTAGGTACCAGGAATCCAGCTGCCATCAATGCTTTATGCTTGTCCTTAGGGAATGCTGGCTCATCCAGTACACAATGTCCCACACCCTTCTCTCTTTTAGAGTTTAAAGTCTATGTGGACATGATGTCATGCTCTCAGAATGCAGAACAGGTGACACATGCCTCCATGAAAGCATTTAGACAAGAGCATTTACTTCATGCCACTTGCTCTTTCTTCTGGAAGGCATCAAATAGTCACATTTTCCAAGTGGAATCATAGTCAAGTACTCAAACACAGTCAGGTTTATACCCAATCACCAATCATTTGGTGATTTTATTTTTTTTTTTTTAATTTGGGAAAATGATAGCATGTTAAATTCTCCCAGTGTTTATTAAAATCTGGGCTTTGGGGGATAGAAATGCAAAGCACTAAGCACGATTTCTAACTTAGAAAGGGAATCATTATTGCCGCTATTTGAAATGGGTTAGGCTTGGAGAAAAAAATTCATTCCCCCAGTTTTCCCACTGAGAAGGGCAGGCACAAGACTCAGCTCTGCATCATTAGCCGAACACAGCCTCCCCTCCCCACTATGGACTGTCTTCCTCCCACATCCTCTCCAACTGGGCAGTCTCCTCAGGCCACTCCAGCCAGGACTTGGCTCCTGCAGTGCGCCCTCTTTCCTTTTTGCATTATCCTGTCCCACTAACATCTACAAATTATAACCGTTCCCATTAAAACACACACACACACACACACACACACACACACACACACACACACACACCACGCCTCTTCTCCCATTCCCCTGTAACACAGACATTTCTTAACCTGCTGTCTGTAATCACCGACTCCAGGGTCTCACCTCTCACCCTCCTGACTCCACTCACATAGCACTGCTGTCTGCATTCTGCAGACTTGGACTTGGCTTATCCATATTGCACAAGGCAAGGTCCACTTCCCAGTCTTCCTCTCATCACCTCTGATTTCCTCTCTGTGCACTGACTCTCATCCCCTGCCCGTCTCAGAACACCAGAGTTCTCCTCTTTCCTTGTCAACGCCTGTTCTCGGTCCTAGCTGACCCAACACCTTCTTCCTACAGCATCGTTTATATACTCTCTCTAGTATCTTGTCATAGTGTACCCAGGGAGTCTGCAGGGACGCATACTACTGCTGCTCCTTCTTTCCTATGAGTAAAGCTATGCACAATTTGCAAATACTAAATGATGCTGTTTCCTTAAATCTAACTCTTAATACTGTGCTCAAATGAATGCTGCCATAGTATTTAACATTAGATTTAGCCTAACTGTTATGAAATTCTCAGGTATGTCATATTGTCTCCACTGCTGTGTGGTGTGAGAGCCGGAGAATTACACGCGCAGTTCTCAGTTTCTTTCTCCAAGCTTTATTTATAGTTGAGGGATCAAATGCAATGGGGGCTTTAGATGATAGTGAACAAGCATTAATGTTAAGAAAACATTCTTCTTCCTAGTGTGTGCTGTAGTTGGGTTTTTGTTTTGTTTTGTTTTGTTTTCACTCTTTGGAGACCCACCACCCAGCTCCCAAATAAATACACAAAGATTTATTCTTACTTATGAATACCCAGCCTTAGCTTGGCTTGTTTATAGCCAGCTTTTTTTTTTTTTTTAACTTAAATTAACCCAATTCTCTTTAACTACATTTTGCCTCTGGGCTTTTTACCTTTGTTTATTTTATATATCTTTCTTTCCTTCTTACTCCATGGCTAGCTGTATGGCTGAGTCGGTGACCCCTGGCATCTCCTTCTCCCTCTCCCTCTCCCTCTCCCTGTCCTTCTCCTCCTCTCTCCTCGCTCTTTTCCCTAGATTTCTCCTCCTATTTATTCTTGGCTCAACAGCTCCGCCTATTCCTCTCTCCTGCCTAGCTTTTGGCTGTTCAGTTCTTTAGTAAACCAATCAGGTGTTTCAGACAGGCAAAGTAACACAGCTTTATGGAATTAAACAAATGCAACATAAAAGAATGCAACACATCTTTGTATCATTAAACAAATATTCCACAGCATAAACGAATGTAACACATCTTAAAATAATGTCCACATTAGTGTCACATGTGTGATGTCATTTGTGAAGTAGTCACAACAACGTTTCTCATGCTGTAAGTGGTGAAATCAGAACTTAGAATTGCAAAGTGCCTAATGTCCCTCAAGAAGAGGTGGAGCCAGGATTAGCATCTGCCCCTAGAGTATATTGCTCAGCGTTGCTCTGTTGTATGATTGACACTCAGGAAGATCGGTCGCTGTTATTAAGGAAGCCATGTCCCTGCCCAGCTAGGCTTTTGAAAGGAAAATACAGGTGCATGTTTAAATGACTTGTTACTTAGTCTGTTTTCAGTGATGTTATTTATGCTCTCCCTCCTCCAGGACATGGTGACTCGGGCCTCCCCATACCTGTTTGAAGCTACAGGGAAACGATTTTATTTCAAAAATGTTGCCATTTTGATTCCTGAAAACTGGAAGACAAAACCTGATTATGAGAGGCCCAAACTTGAAACCTTCAAAAATGTGAGAACAAGTTCTTTTTGACATCTTTTTCTTGAAATTTAGCTCTTATTTCTGTTCATTTGTTTATTTGAGGCAAAATAGTATAAAATGAAATGGAATTGTGCCAAAATCCCCCACTTGTGAGTAAGGCCAACTTGTTTGCTGAAATGGTGTGATCGTCTTTTCTTATCTTTCAGGCTGATATCCTGGTGTCGCCAACTAGCCCTATAGGTGAAGACCAGCCTCACACTGAGCATGTAGGCGCATGCGGAGAAAAGGGAATCAGGATCCACCTGACCCCTAACTTCTTAGCAGGAAAGAAGCTGAAAGAGTATGGACCACAAGGTATGGACTCAGCTAAAGCATTTCAGCAAGTAACATAACACAGCAATTGTGTATTAACTACTGTATTCCCTTTCGGAGTAAGCCTGCAGGTGACAAGGAAACCGGAAATAAAGCCAGTGAAGCATGCCTTTTCATTTAAAACAAGGAGTCAGAGCCATGTATTTCTGAGCTATAACATAACATCGGTTTATGAACTTGTATATGTGTGACATTTTACTATAGTGGAAGGTTATTTCAATGACATGGCATGAAGCTTTAGACTTTTGTGGGTCTATGAGCTTCACTCGACTGAACAAAATCTCCTTCCTGCAGTTCATAAGATAGACACCAGATGATGATGGTGCGCTCAGGCTCTGATTTGAGTTCCCTATTCAGCAGAATTTGATTCTTGATTCTGTAGGATTCAGGAGAGGTTCACACTCCAATTTTTTAACAAGCTTTCAGGTAGTGCTGCATGGGGTACCACTCTCTAGATAGCAGACAGAATCGTCCTGCTGTCATCTCCCAAAAGTCTCTCCCACACTCCTTCCCTCCCTCCCCACCTCTGTGTGTGTGTGTTGCACACCAATTACCCCAAGACAGCTGAGGCAGAAGGATCCTGAGTATGAGTCAGTCTTGACTACACAGGGAGACCCTTAAACAAAAGGACCAAACAAAGAAAAAGTTCAATCCTTATAAAAAATACACTATATTATGTCAATATGAGCTATATAGAGCAATCTTTGAAGGAAATATTCAAAGTACATACATGAGCTTTATGCATATACACAAATGTGGCTAGTTGTTGAATAACTAGTGTTGTTGAATAACTAGCGTTGGAAAACTGATATCTAAAAAAGACTAGACTCCTCACAACCAGGTTGGTTTTCTTAACTTAGGCAAGGCAGAGGAAAAGGGCGAGCCATGGTGCTGCCTGCCTCACCCCCATATATTACACACTGATTAGAAGGGTCTGAACCTCGCACCTTTGTTTTACACTATTCCATTTCATTTCCATAACCGGAACAGAAGATTCCTGACCTATGGTCCAATAAGTATGTGTTGAATTAATTGGTCTAACTATGCTTTTCCAGTCCTGAGTTCATACTAACCGCCACAGCTGGATATCACACCATTCCTTTAGATAAATTCTTTATATACCATGACCCCAGTCCTTTGCCCTCAAAATCTTCTGCTGCCTTGACAAACAGTTACTTCTTTTCTAGAACTTGAAAGCAGAGCCTAGATTGGAGTTCTTCAGCATGCCCCTCTTACCTAGCTCTCCAAACTCAGCCCACCTGGAATTATAATTCAGAAACATTAAGATGCACATAAGTCACTAAGAGTCATCCAAATATAACAGATACTTAATGGACGCCAAATAATTTCTAGATATGATGTGCCCAGATACAACAGGAGAGAAATAATATTACCTGTCTTCATGGAGATAAGCTGCGATGACAGAATAAGATGCTAAGTGCCATAATGAGATATGCTGAAACTACAAAAGAGGAGTGTCTGGTCTTCTCTGAGCATGTTAGGGTGGCAGTTGGCTAGATCAGGGCTTGATTTTTTTTTTCTTAATGCTTTGGAGACAGAATCTCAAAAATATTGCCAAGGCTGGCCTTGAACTAATGATCCTTCTGCTTCAGCCTCTTGAACAGCTAGGGTTACAGGCACTGGCCACCAGGCCTAGGTGGAAGCTTGGTTTTGAGAGAAGAGTGGTAATTACCACTGTAGAGACAGTGAGGGATGCCAACCAAAGAAAGCAGGTGTCAAAGGAGGAGGATGTGACCTAGAGCAAAATACTCAGAAATGAACTGTGACTAAAGAGCACAAAGGTGAACAGCAGGAAAAAGCTGGCGTTGTTAATCACTCGCACACAGTGCTAAGGACTTAACTCTTGTACTTCAAGGCATTTCCTCTCTTCTCCTGCATGTCCTCCACAAGACCACATACTGTGTGATGAGGCAGCTGCCTGACCAGTGTAGATAACCCCCGCTCTCAATCATCACCCCATGAACACACAACAAGCCAAAATAAATGTGTGTATTCTACATAACTGCATACTTGTCGTATTAGGTCATGATAAGGAATGCATGCAAGCTCCCAATTTTTTATTTAGAAATAAAGAATAAAGCCAAGCAAAACAAGCATTTAGAAGAATTATTTTTTAGTGTGAGGTTATTTTACCACATTTTTTATCTTCAGCTGTTTGACTTTTTTTTCTCACAGAGAAGGCCTTTGTCCATGAGTGGGCTCATTTCCAGTGGGGAGTATTTGATGAATACAACAATGAGGAGAAATTCTACACCTCCAAAGGAAGAACAGAAGCAGTAAGGTGTGTACATTTTGACTTTGCTTTTACAGTGCAACCAATTTTTCCTTGAGTTACTTTTAAAATACCAGCTTTCTGTCTTATATCAAGTGGTCCTGCTAACTGAGTTCCTACTTTGTGAATCGTGGCGGTGTGCAGCCTGCCAGGTGCCTCTGCTTGTGATCTCTGTCACACAGACCATATCCAGAGTCACTGTGCTGTCATGACCACAGGTCGGTTTGACTATTCAAATCTCAGCCAGTGGGCACCATGGTCTGTTTGTCCCACTTCTCCTTTCTAAGCTTCCACACTAGCTACTGCGTCCTCCCTTAAGAGCAAGGCTGATTTGTGCACATCGCTTTTTGAGATCTAGAAATATCCAACAATGTATTCACCCTTCCACAGCTACTGAGCACATCAGCCTACATGACTGCCATGCCCTCTTTAAAAAAAAAAAACAAAACATTGTCAAGTCAAGCATGTGGGTCACCCTTTAACCCCAGTATTCGGGAGACAGAGGCCATTCTGGTCTACAAAATGATTTCCAGGACAGCTAAGGCTGTTATACAGAGAAACCCTGTCTTGAAAATCAAACAAAATAAACCTTTATCTAAACATATTAATAATATTCATTGTCCCTTGTCTTCCAAACAAACTTTTAAGGTATGTGTAGGCCCAGAAGTAATCAAAACATGATAGCTGTCCAGAAGTTACTCTTCTCATATATTATAGAGTATGCAATCTAACAGACCATGCCATATTTAATAGAGAAATGATAGGGACAGCCTCTGCAAGAAGACAAGGGTAGCCTCTATGATCACAGTTGTCTCAATTTCTTCAGGAAGTTGTATCCAATTCAATGGCACACAAAACTGAGGCAGTACACAACAAGGTTGCGGGGGGGGGGGCACTTGCACAAATGAATGTGGGACCTAGAAAACCCAAGGTAGTAAAATTAAGTTCAGATTGTCAAGGGAAGTCAACAGAGGGACATGATACAAAAGGGTTGTTCCACATGCTTTCCATATGTTAGCAATAACTCATCCCAAAATACAGTGGAAAATACTCCACTGAAAATAGCAATTCAATGGAAAACTCAGTAAGAAATGGTAAAGATAAACCTGGAGAAAACTACAAAATGATTTTGAAAAGCTTAAAAGAAAACAAATGCAGGGAGGAGTTCAATCCATGAAGTGTATAAAATCAACAAAAGTTGGTTTATGAATTCTATGAAATTCTAGTAAAAAAATGCATTTGTATCTTATTCAAAGACCCCAGCATTCATTCAGCAAGATTATTTCTGGAAAAGGGTCATAATAAAATGGACTTTTACTTGTCAATTGTTAAAGATATTTCAAAACTGAATTAAATAAAAAATTGTATATTGACAATAATTTGCACACACAGGAATTTAACAGAATTTGAATAAGATCTATGAGGAGAGATGAGATTTCTCAAGATATAAAGAAAAATTTTAACTATTGGAAAAAATAATAGAATCTCGTACAATTGGATAAACTTGTCAAATAAAAAAACACAATGCAAATTATACATATCTATGTACTGAAGTCTATGCATGTAAATTATTAGTATTAATACATCTTAAATTAATAAATATTAATATCAAATCTACATGCAGTGAAAAATCTTGCTATGTGTTCAGATCTCTATGTAGTGAAAGTTTTTCTGTGCATTTAAGAATTAAAATAATAGATGATTGCAGTGGCACGTGTATAATTTCAGCACTCAGGAGGCTGAGGCAAAAGGATGTGAAGTCAAGGCTAGCCCGGGCTACATAGCAAAGCCCTGTCTCAAAAACAAAACTAGAGAAAGGCATAATTAAAAGAAAAAGGGAAAAAATGTGACTACCCATAAATTAAGAATTTTGTTTTACATTAACTAAATAGATTAAAAGGGAAAACAGAAAACAACATATGCTCACAAAAACAAAACAAGTCAAGCTTTTAGCATCATAGGACTCACCGTAGCATCTTCAAAGCCAGTTGTGATGGCAGACACCTGTAACCACAGCATGCTGGAGGTGGAAGCAGGAGGGTGAGAGGTCAAAGCCATTGTCAACTACGGAGCCAGTCTGAAGCAAAGCTGGGATACAAGAGTCTTTGAGAGGAAGGGAAAAAAACTAAAAACAAAGACAAAGAAAATTGAAAATAAATGAACCACTAATAAGAAAAATATACAAAGAATATCTGATTCATAAAATAAGAAATAAAAATAACTAATAAACATACAAAATGATCATACTTACTAGAAATTGAGAGATTCACGTTAGACAGAGATGAGGTCATCTCTGCTTTACAGGTTATCTCATGCAGTTGACAGCTCCCAGGCATGGAGTTCAGAGTCAGAAATCAAAGCAACTTCCCCAGAAGATGACAATTATCAGAGCTCTCATTTTTTTCCTGTTTCTCGAGCAACTATTTTCATGTTTAAAAAAACATTTTAAGTAAATGATAGACAAGCCATATCAAAAGATTTTTAGAATATGCTCAAAATTTTATGTGAAATTTGATGTTTACACACGTTTTATTTTGGGTATTTAAAAGTTAACAGAAAAAGTAAATTTAGTAAGTTAGGGTGAGTTTATATAATGTCAAAAGATATAAATAATTAAAACCACATTGTGCAAGAATACACTACATATCTATATATTATGATTTTAAATATGCCAGCTCAATAAATTTTTTTAATCAGAAAACAAAGCACTGTTATGCTGACATACAGAAAATCTTCCAACAAGTCAGCAGTCATTTATTTCTGATGGTGAAACATGTTTTTCCCTTCTCTTTATAGTTTTTATGAGTTCTCAAATATTCTTTTACACTTTTATTATTTATATACTCAAATCGGTAATTTAAAAATGAAATATGGCGGTAAGTATTCCATTTATAACAAACTCCATAAACATATAATATAAAAAATTAATTGTCAATGAACATACAATCACTGTACAAAAGCTGTTTGGAATAAAGAATCAGGACAAGTAGGTAAACACAGGGAAGATATCAGCAAGTCCTGTGGGGAAGCTAAGCAGACTCTTGATTTTCTAGAATGAGGAGACTGGATTGGGGGAGCCTGAGGACTTTGATCCTAACTGGGCTATTATGGTACTATTTATGAAGCCCCATAAATGACTGGTATAAACTTAGTGCTTTTGTTATATGAAGATATGTAATTTCTTCTTGGTTCAATGAAAAAAATCATACAAATTTCAGGTGAGTTATGGACCCACTGCCTAAGCATTTAATCTTAATCTGTTTTCAGATGTTCAGCAGCTATTTCTGGGAAAAATGTGGTTCGCTGGTGCCAGGGAGGCAGTTGTGTCGATAAAGGAAAGTGCAAAAAGGACCCACTAACAGGACTGTATAAAAAAGATTGTGTGTTCATACCAGATAAGCAACAAAGTGAGAAGGCGTCCATAATGTATGATCAAACTATTGACTCTGTAAGTGCCTTATTCTTTTCTCCGGTGCTTGTATGAATTTAGTAAGGGCAGTTTGGTTTTGGTTTTGCCCAAGTGCTTCAGGGGAGGATCCAGTTTTAGAGATTCTAGCAGCTTTAAGGGGGAAATCAGCAGTTGGTTCTCTTTGGGATAATCTTGGTTGCAGAAAGCAAACTATAGAATTCTTGCTGAGTGTCCCCCAGGGCCAACTCTTGAGGAAGAAAAATTAATGTGACCTTGTCTGTTGGGTTTATAGCCCGAATGTACAAAGGAGTTCGTTGATATTTGTCCATTGCACTCTAAGATCATGGAGGACTGAATGGATGGACATTCTCTAGGAGGCTAGAAGATGAGGAAAACATCTGGGGAGTGAACAAAGGCAGGGTTACAAAGCAGGTGATGGGGAAGGATCTCCCTGGTAAAGAATCAGGAGCAAAGGGATAGGGGCGAAGAAGCTTGGGAAGCCTGAAGACCTACAGGATAGAGCAGAAGAAACTAAAGACGTGGACTCCACAGCCAGAAGGAAGGAGAGAAGTGAAGGGAAAATCGACCCTTGTGACTGCTGTTTGCTATGAGAAGCTGCAAGGCTTGTAGGGTGTGAGCAATCATGAACCACACAAAGGGTCTTATAGGGCTACAGAGACACAGCTCAGCTGGTAAATTGTCTGCTGATCAAGTGCAGAGACCTGAGTTCAGATCTTCAGAACCTATGGAAAAGCAAGGGTGCCAGCACTGAGAGATGGAGATAGGTAGATTGCTGAAGGTCAATGCCTGCCAATTTCATCAAATAGATGGATTTCAGATTCACGGGGAAATCCTGTCTCAAAAAACTGAGTGTGGAAGGTGACTGAGGAAAGACACCTAACATTGACCTCAGGCCTCCACGTGAACACATTTGCATGTGCACCCACACACATATCTGTACATACAACACACATAGGACACCACATGCAATTTAAATATAAAAGTCTTAGAGACTTCTAGTCTTATTAGAGTAAAAGGAAAGAGTTCTCAACCACTGTGGGGTAAAGAAATTGGAGAAATAGCAAGGTGGAAAGTCAGATTAGTCATGTTCACAGTGTGAAGGAAGGACGGTGAGGACACAGATGATGGAGATTTCATTGAATCGAGGTGGGGGGTGGTGGATTATGAACTATAAGTAGGAAGAAATGTCTAGTTCTTGGTTGTTTTGTCGAGGGAGGAGAGCAGAAACTTCCTGGTTTCTTGAACTGGGTGGCAGGGTTCGTAGTGCTGACGTTGAGTATGGAAATGTGTGAAGAGGGTGAGGAAGCACCAGAGGAAAGTGATAAGGTCATTATGAAGATGTGGAGAAAAAAAGATTTCCAGGTAGATTTTAGAGAGAGCTGGAATGATGCGTGTTCGAGGTTGAATGCAGCATGTTGATTAATGGGGTTCAGAAGTAATGAAATGGAGTCTGGTAGTCTGAAGATGGAGAGATAAGATTGGACAGAGAGGAATACTGAAGAGTGTGATGTGAAGGATGATGTCTTGGGTAGAAAATCTGAAGAGTAAGGGAAACCACCTTAGAGCAGTTGGGTTGTTCACTGAGATCCAATGAGGCTGAAGACATGGATGGAAACCCGACTTCAGAGTGATTTTCCCCAGAAGTGCCATGTACCATTGTGACACAGAGCCACAGTTATAAGCTAGCAGAGGAGCCTGAGGGTGGGGACATAAAGAGGTTATTTTGTTAGTTATTTTGACAAGTATATGACTGTTATATGCATCATTATATTGGCAATTTCAGGTGGTTGAGTTCTGTACAGAAAAAAATCACAACAAGGAAGCTCCAAATGCCCAAAACCAACGATGCAACCTCCGCAGCACGTGGGAAGTCATCCAGGAGTCTGAGGACTTTCAACAAGCCACTCCCATGACGACTCAGCCACCCACACCCACCTTCTCATTGCTGCAGATTGGACAGAGAGTTCTGTGTTTAGTTCTTGATAAGTCTGGGAGCATGACGGTACGTTCACTGAGCCTTCATTTTGGGGATGTGGATCATAGGTGGTTGTACATGTATGATACAATCTGGCCTGCAATTTGGACTTGGAAAATAAACACAACGGGAGGGTCCAAACCCAGCAATAGCTTTGTCATCAGAAATGCTCATCTTGGACTAGAACTAGAGCTCAGCTGATGAAATGCTTGCCTTGAAAGCACAAGGACATGAGTTCAAGGCCCCAACTCCCTTAGGATCCCAGCACCGGGTAGGTAGAAACAGACAAATGCCTGTGGACCTGTGATCAGTGAGCTCCAGGTGGTGAGAAGCACACACACGCACACACACACACACACACACACACAGAGAGAGAGAGAGAGAGAGAGAGAGAGAGAGAGAGAGAGAGCTCACATTGCCTCATTCCACAGACCCAGTATCCACTCTCTTCTGTCAAATTAAACTAATGTCAACCTATAAGCAAAGATCTGATTAATAAGCTTAATATTGTTCATATTTTGTTAACACACATAGGTCTAGAGTTCCATATAAGCCTTATTTAGACCTATTACTAATGCATTGTATTCCAATGATTGCCTAATATAACTTTTTGTCTTTTGCTATTTATACAAAAATTCTAAAATTTTACCCAAAGTGGACAGTAGGTACGAATGGAAAACAGGCCATCTGGTTTGCTTACACACTCACATGGGGCAGTCACTTCCAAATACCCTTTAGCCCGGTCTGTTGTTGGTCTGTTCATCTAAGGGTCAACTTGACCCTTTTTATTTGCTTGCCTTTGCAGAGCGATGGCCGTCTTAACCGAATGAACCAGGCAAGCAAACTCTTCCTGCTGCAGACCGTGGAGCAGGGGTCCTGGGTCGGCATGGTGACATTTGACAGTGCTGCCTACGTACAAAGGGAACTCACGCAGATCAACAGTGCTACTGACAGAGACCTGCTGGCAAAAAGCTTACCCACAATATCCTCAGGAGGGACGTCCATATGCTCTGGGCTTCAAACAGCATTTACAGTAAGGCGTGTTCCTTCTGTAATAGTTCGCAACTGTTTGTGATTTTTGCTCCTATGAAATTTTTATGTCCAGTGTTTCCATACATGGCTGGTGTCAAACTGAGTTCTGTGGCCAAGGACAAAGCGGTGGTCGAGGGGTACAAAGATACTGGCCTCCAGAGTTATCACTAATTCACTTCTTCATGCTTCTGTCCTTTTCTGCACCTAGGCATTCAGGCTTTTCTATGTGCATGTCTGCCGTATGTCTCATGAGCCTCCTCCATCAGCTCCACTGGGTTACACATTCTCAGACGCTATGGCAGAATCACCTGTTCTTACCTGATGGTTCAACTCAGTTACCATTGTCCCCCTATGGGAAACATGGAAACTCCAACCTACTCCACAGAACACAGTCATGAGAAATTAGACAAAGGGATCCAAACTGGGCCATAGATCTTACTTCCTAGTACCAGAAGCACTTTGGTCAGACTAAGGTTATGACCACAGCTCTGAGATCCCTAGGCACTGGCTCTTTCCCATGTCCACAGTCTCAGCCCTTCATATATCATCAAGGAGGCCTTGTGTAGTGGCCTCCTGTCAGCACAAATAGAGAATGCAGTGGGGAAAAGTCCCCTGTGCCTGCACCTTCCCCTCCAGCCTTCTGGCCACACAATCTCATTCTGAATTCATCATCCAGATAATGGGGGTTGCAGAACTTGATCTTGACTGTTTGCTCTGTGTTTTGGTCTCTTTCCATCATTTCAGTGGTGTGTAGAATCTGGTCTTCTTGAACAGATCACATGTGCCTTTATTTAATTTTCTTTCCATCATAATCTTATTTAGCATTGGCAGATGGACTGTCCTCTATACCCTATTAAAAGTATATCTAGGTATACAACTATAGAAAGCACTTTGGAGATTGGGAGTGGGAGGGTCAAAGGTCAAGGTCATCCTTGTCTATATAGA